CCCGCCTAGGGTCCCCTAAGCCTTCAGTTTCCCATCTCCTCTGTTCCAGACTTGGAAGTATTGGCCAAGAAGAGCCCAAAACGGCTGCTCAAGACTCTGGAAGTCTACCTAGCCCGAGTGTCAAAGGGACAGGCCTCCTTGTTGGAGACACAGAAGTGCTCTGGGTCTGAAGGGTCTCACTCCAAGGACCTCACCTTCACAGGCGTGTGTGACCTGCAGTCTCACTCATTTGAGAGCACAGGGTTGATCTGACCCACCACGGAGACGATTCCTAAAAAAGCAAGCTGGATCGCTCGCTTGAGCTCTCAGAACCCATGAACCCTACCTGCCTCCGCAGGTGAGGTTAGGAAGCTTCCACTTCTGGGTAGTGAAGTCTCAGTGTCCACACCAGCATAGCACTTTCAGGCAGCTAGAATTAACCTCCTTGCCACTTTGGAAGCAAGGAGTCTTCTGTTGTTCCCAGCTGGGCTCACTCCAGTTCACAGGCCTGGGCTCCCGATGTCTCAGCGGAAGTGAACGGACCATAAAGTAGGACAGCCGCATCTGAACAGTCTACACATCCGCACCTACAGTCCCTGGAAGCTGCTGCTAGAATTCTGACTCCACAACCGCTGTCCCCAGTGTCCAGAGGCAACAATATCTTCAGCCAGCAGGGGGCAACACAACACAGGAAAAAGCGACTGACTGATAGGCAGGCCCCCTCCTTTCAGGACTCTTGTTCCCTCCTTTCACCCCCTCCCCCTACTTCCTTTGCCCACCTTTGTTTGTGATCTGGAAATGGGCACTCGGCTAACTAGACTAGCTATCGAGGTGCTCGACCCACATCGCCCGCAGGCTAGGGCTCTTATGGAGACCACACACCCTTCCCTAGAGGCAATAGGAACTCACTTACCCACCAGCAGTTTTACAATAAAGGAATTGTTGTAGTCTCTAGTGTAGTCTCTAGTGTTTTCTTCCAAGACAGTTCTTTCAGGGTCTTCCTGTGCCCCGTTGTCTGGCACCAGATTGAGCCAGGCAGGTTAGCACGTAGGGTGCAGTGGGGCTACACACTCCTCAGAGCCCCAGGATGGAGGGGCTTCCTACACTCTGGATACCTGCCATTTGAGTTCCCCTGGCAGCACCTGCAGGCTTGGAGACGACAGACGCCCATTTATTTATTATCATTATTATTATTGTGTATGTGTGTATGGTATGGGGTGTGGGAGACACACATGACATGCCGTGTGGGGATCAGAAGACAGCTTGATGAAGTTGGTTCTCTCCTTCCACCGTCAGCTTCTGGAGATTAAAACCAGGTCATCTGGCTTTTGTGGTAAGCTCTTTACCTGTTAAGCCATCTTGCCCACCCAGGCCAGGAGACCCTTCACAAGCTCTATCCAGTGAGCACAGTGGTCTTGTTAGGGTTGACTAGTGTGTTGTCCACCCTAGGCTTTTCCTGGCTGTTGCTCCCTGGCCCCAGCCCCCCACCTAACCACCTTAGAGCCTCAGGCCCCTGTGCCCCTCTGGCTTCCCTCGAGCCAGACTGGAGAAGCCTGTGTCCATCTCTACTTCTATTTTAGGCCATTCCAAATCTGGCCCAGAGATGGCACCGACAGAGAGAGGCCTTCCTCCCAGCGTGCTCACGACACGGCCTGCAGTTCACCGTCTGTCGTAATCATAGAGTCTCAATTAGAACGCGTTGTTACCACATCTCTGCCTCCAGCCCCCATCTTCAGGGACCAGCAGAGGTTGCTGGGCTGGGAGAGATTGGCAGGCAGCCCAGGTCCTTGTCAGTTTGGGTGCTTCCTTCCCTACTGTCCCTGTCCCTTGCTCTGAGCCTACAAGGTTGACTCGGGAAGCACAGGACCCCAGCATATCAGGCCACATGGACCCCAGGAGGGCCAGCACTCCCAGCAGGGGCCCTTCATCTAGACCAGCTTACCACAGCTCCAGGATAACTCAGGAATCCATCCTCCTGGTGGGCGGGTTCGGGTGGAGATAAGAGGCCTCCGAAAGATGAAAAGCTGTGTTTTTCTTGGGGGTAGGGAGAACTGCCTTGCATGGGAGACCTTAAAGTCTCCATAAATCTGAAACTGGCAGAATCACGTGGGTGCATGTCTTCCTCTCTCCCACCAGTGTTCCTGTGTGGTCAGCTGAGGGCTGGGAACCGAGGGGAGGGTCCACAGAGGAGCTCACTTTCCCTTGCTCCTTGGCACAACGTCAGAAAGATGAACTTGATTAGACTTTGTGGGGGGACAGAAGAATGCAGTGTGTCACAGCTCAGAAGCCACAATAACCCTTAGGACACACAGGAGGGGTGGCTCAGGGTGGCAACTGCCTCTGATCCAGGTTCACTAAGACACCACTCTTGTCGTTGCCCTTCAGGGTTGGGGGGCCTCTGTGACACACTCCCCACCCCTCTCTAGCTTGTTTCTTTTAAGATAGGGTCTCTGATGGCCTAGGGTGACCTTGAACTCACTATGTAGCAAAGGCTAAGCTCATGATCCTCCTGCCTCTACCTCCCAAGTGTCAAGGTTACAAACATGTACCACCATACCTGGCTCAGTTACTCTCTTCCCCCCAGCAATGCTCTCTGCCCTCTTTGATACCCCATACTATGTCATTAACAAGAAATAGAACTAGGGCTGTGACCAGAGAGAACAACCAAGGATCAGAAGCAGGGGCTCTCCACTATAGACCAGCACTTTTCTTTTCTTCTCTCTCTCTCTCTGTCTCTCTCTGTCTCTCCTCCCCCCACCACCATAGTTTCTTGGTAGCTTTGGAGCCTGCCCTGGAACTCGCTCTGTAGACCAGGGTGGCCTCAAGCTCACAGAGATCTACCTCTCTCTGCCTCCTGAGTGCTGGGATTAAAGGTGTGCACTACCACCGCCCAGCTAGACTGGCACTTTTCAACACACACACACACACACACACACACACACACACACACACACACATACACAGAGGCCCTGGGCTGATGAGCCAAACACAGAACCCAGTGGAATAAGAGAGAACAACTGGCCTGCTCACGAGTGGTGACCCATCTTGTTGCTAGTTGAATGTAATCATTTAAAACTGCCACTCGGGCATTTATTGGGGCATCTGAGGAAATATTGGCTTGAACAGAAATCTAGCCACAGCCACAGCCACAGCCACAGCCACAGCCAACCGGGAATGTGAGACTTGAACTAAACGCTGGCCTGAAAGCGATACCAAGACCTGGCACTGTGCCACCTCCCTGTTGGGTTCTGGGCATGGTGGGGGTGGGGACAGCAGCTCCACTGAGAGTCCTGGCCATGCAGAGGCAGCACAGGGCTCTCAGAAGCTGTGGAATTATCTTCTATGTTCTACTCAACCCCCAGAATGGGGATGAGCCCAAGTGACCAGGTGGGACAAAACCAGCCCAGGGCAAGCAAGCACACCAGAAGAGCTGGGAAAGGAATGTGTCTCCTTTATTGAGCGTCCACAGAGAGGGCACCTCAGTGCTGACTCAACAGCCAGGGGCATGGGGCGGAGGACAGGCAGGCCGGTGGTAGAAGGCAGGAGAGGAGGGCTAGGGGCACCAACCCTCATTTCCAGTTCTTGAAGAATTGCTTGAAGATGGGACTCTCTCGGCCCTGGGGCAGAATCTCCACCTGCAGTGGGAGAAAAGCTCAGCTCACAGGTTGCCCACCACCACCTCTGAGGAGGGGGAGGCCAAGGGATACCATGACAGGTCAGCAAGGAGTTAGACAGGACATAACCAAGGGAAACCACAGACACGGCCTTGGCAGCTGCGTCTCCTGAAAGAACGTTCCTTTGTGGTTAAATACTCTTGTCATAGCCCTGCAGTTAGGTTGTCTCGCTACGTCAGAGGCTGAGGTGTGAGGGCATTTTCCCATGCATGTCATCAACCAAAAGGCCGCATTGTCAAGAGACGCATGATCACTAATGCCACTCGCACTGTGGTCTTTGACAGCCCCCACATACATACACCCTTTTGTGTTTTTTCTAGAGGATTATGGGAAGAAAAACTCTAAAGGGATATCTGGTCCATCGTGATTTAGGAGGGTAAAGGGGTATATTACCCCGGGAATATACCACCCACCTCATAAATATTCATAAAATTGTCTTCAGTATCCACAAATCAGAACCCATGGGGCAGCTCCCCACCATAGGGCAATGCACTCCAATCTCTTTGGAGTGTTCCTTTGTATGAATTTGCTAAAAAGCTGCTCAGACTGTCTGCCTCTTGACTAAATTCTTTCATTCAAGAGGATGAGAGCCCTGTAACACCAGGCAAGAGGCCGCCAGCCGTCTAAGCCAGTCCTGAGAAGACAAAGATAAGACAGGGCAGAGACAGAGAAAACACTGCTCCAAGGATGGGGCACTCTATGGCAGATACCACCAATTAGACATCAGCTGTATCAGAACTTCTGATCAGGGCATGGTGACTCACACCTGTGATCTCAGCACTTAAGAGGCTGAGGTAGGGGAATTGTGAGTTCAGAACAACTGGAGATACATTGTGAGTTCTAACCTAACCTGGGCAAAGGGTGAGACACCGTGGGGAAAGGGGAAAGACAGAGCTGAGGCTGTACCTCAATGCTAGCCACACACAAAGCCCCAAGTTCAATTCCCAGCACCGCATAAGCCAGGTGTGACCCACACCTGTAATCCTAGAACTTGGGAAGTAGAGGCCAGAAGATCAGAAGTTCAAGGTCATCCTTGGCTACATAGAGAGTTTGAGGCCAGCCTGGGCTACATGAGACCCATATGGAGAGAGGCAAGATGAGAATAACTTGTATAGCCACTGTGCTGGGGAAACACACAGCCACCCAGTGACATGCCCTGCCCTTGAGGCTCCCAGGCTTCCCTTTAAAAATAAGTTTTGGGTTTTTGTTTGTTTGTTTGGTTTTGGTTTTTCGACACAAGGTTTCTCTGTGTCACAGTCCTGGCTGTTCTGGAACTCACTTTTAGACCAGGCTGGCCTCGAACTCACTGAGATCTGCCTGCCTCTGCCTCCTAAATGCTGGGATTAAAGGTGTGCGCCACCACCGCTGGCAAGTTTTGGGTTTTTGTTGTTTAAAATGCTGAAGGACTGAAAAGGCCTTTCCACCTATCCACCTAACTGGTCTGAGGCAGGTGAGTCTGCTCTCAAATCCTGAGCTGTCCTGCTCTTGTCTGGTTAGGGGTAGGGGGCCACAGGAAGGTGCCAGGGGGTGCAGGTGTCCTCACCTGAGTGTTGGGGGAATATCTCATCCGAGAGATGAAGCCATCGGCCACTTGGAGGGCTGCCTGCCGCTCCTTCTCATTAGCTTTTCGTCCTGGAACATAGGAACACAATTTCAAAAGGAGAAGCAGATGGGGTGCACCTGACTAGGGAGAGCTTGCCTAGTATGTGTGAGGCTCTGCCTTTTGTCCCTAGCACCACAGAAAACCACCTGTAAGCCCCGAACTGGAGAAGTCGAGGCAGGAGGCTCAGAACTTCATCTTCATGTTTTCAGCTACATAGGGAGTTCAAAGTCAGCCTGGACTGCATGAGACACTGGAGGGGGTGGAAATCCTCTAGTCTCTCTCCCATTTTCTTGAAGAAATTTAAAGGATCCACAGAATACCTGACAGGTTTTTGTTTTGTTTTGTTGTTGTTGTTTTAAACAAAATGTACTCAAGTATACTGAGTACCCAAGAATACTGAGGGCGCCTTGGAGTATGAAATCATACCCTTAATTTTTTTTCCCAGAAATCTGGCAGCTCTAAGCTTTGATTAATCAATTAGTTAATTAATTGAAGCCTCTGCCTAGATCAGCAGAGTCTTCAAAAAATTTATTTATTTATTTATTTATTTATTTATTTATTTATTATGTGTACAGTGTTCTGCCTGCATGTTGCCTGCAGGTCAGAGGAGGGCACCAGATCTCATTACAGATGGTTGTGAGCCACCATGTGGTTGTTGAGAATTGAACTCAGGACCTTTGGAAAAACAAGCAGTGCTCTTAACCTCTGAGCCATCTCTCCAGGCCAACAGAGTCTTTTGGCTCTGATCAAGCCATCTTTTAGGAAGAATAGGCTTCCTTCTAGACATGGAACTGTAAGGCTAGTGGGCTGGGGCAATGGCTCAGCGGTTAAGAGCACTTGCTTCTCTTGTAGAGGACCTGAGTTTGATTCCCGACAACCACTTGGCACTCACAACCATCTGTAATTACAATTCCAAGGGATCCAATGCTGTCTTCTGGCTTCTGAGGACACTACACACATGGAAGAAAAATACACATACATACACATAAAATAAAAAAGAAACTCTAGGGCCAGGGCTTCATCCTTCCTTGGAGCTCCTTACCTTCTTTCTATATGTGTACACTGTTACAGATAACACTGTCCTATTATCAAAACTTCTTTTTGTGTGTGTGTGAAATTAAATAGGACATGGAGTAAAATTCCTACAGAGGTGAACTGACTCCCACAGGGCCAAAAGCCAGCATGCTTGCTGATGAAGTGCTTATAAAACTGAAAACCACACAGAACCCACAATATAAGCAATGAAGGCAATCATTTATGTAGTCCTTTATGTAGGCCATCACTGGGACACAAACTGTGATTCAAGCTGAAGGCATTTTGACAAGGAAACAGAGCCAAGCATGGTGGTTGGCTCTCCAGCCAGTGCTAAACTCTTGTGAACTATGAAGTATCTGTGTCCTTCCTCTGTAACTGACCAGATATTCTGGCATCCATGGATACTTGTCTTCCTGCCTCCCAAGCTCCCTGCCCCATGGTTTCTTTTTCTATAATGATTCCTTTCCTAGGGACTACAGATCCTCACTCACTTAGGCCTCTGGAAGCTCAGCATTGGCTCCACGTGTTTGGCACCTCTGCAGGAAGGAGAAGGCAGCACCAGGGCAAGGGATGTAACTCAGCTGGTAGAATATTTGCCCAGCATGTCCTGGGTTCCAACCCCAGCACCTGAGAAAATCAGGCATGGTAGTGCATGTCTGTAATCCCAGCGCTTGGGAGATGGAGACAGGATGGTCAGGAGTTCCTTGACTATATAACAAGTCAGTGGCCAGCCTGGGCTATATGAGACCTTGTCTCAAAAAAGAAAGGAAAAGGGCTAGAAAGATGGCTCAGTGATTAAGAACACTTACTGCTTTTGCAAAGGATCAGAGTTTAGTTCCCAGCACCAACATCAGGAGCTCATAACTGCTTTTAACTTCAGCTCCAAGGGCTCTGATGCACTCTGTCCTTCTTGTGTACCCACAGGCATGCATACACAGAAAAAGAAACAGAGAGAGGGAGAGAGAGAGAGAGAGAGATCCTGGCAGTGGTACACAAAAGCAAGCAGGCTCCCAGGATCATGGCATCCCCACATTTCCATGGGCAAAGCAAGCCACCAGCTCCAACACACAGCACAGTGCCTTCCTCTCTCCAGCAGATACAAGCTCTTGGAAAAGCACAGCCTGCATGCCCGCAAGTTTACAACACACTACATAAAGAGCTACTAAGCCCATCTAAAATTTACCTTTGGTACAATTACCTCAGAACCTTGGGGTCAGACACCACAGAGCCCTGAAAGCCTGGACACTGCTGAGAGAGTTCTCAAAGTGTGGTCCCTGGACCCCACAGGCATGGCCTGGAAACATGTTAAATACACATGTGCTCAGGCTCCAACTCAGACCTGGTGAATCTGAATCTCTGGGATGAGCCCAGCGGAGTTCTGAGGCCGGCTAAGGTTTTCAAAATGACTGAGCCTATTGGGTTCAGGGAAGCTGCAGGGCCCTCAGGCTGAGGAGGCTGAGCCTGCTGCAGGGCCCCCATGGCAGCTGCAGGGCCCTCAGGCTCACACTGAGGAGCCACACATACCCTTCCAGATGTAGATTTTGCCACAAGGCCCGTTGTCCAGAACAAAGCAGTCATCTGGGATCAGCAGTTCAGAGGCAAAGGGGCTGGAGTCAGCCACCTTGGTCAGATTCATCTGTCCAGTGGCATCAGAGACCTGGGGAGAAAGGACAGTCCCCAGTGTCTCTCTCTCTCTCTCTCTCTCTCTCTCTCTCTCTCTCTCTCCCACACACACACACACACACACACACACACACACACACACACACACACACAAGCACACACACACACAGGCCCTCACCTTGAATGGAGGAATGGGTTACCCAAGCCCTCCCCAATTGCTTCTCCCAACAGTTCCAAGCAACAGGCAGGAAGAGCCCCCACACACACACCAAAAGCAAGCATCAGGCAGCCCTCTCTTGTCTGTCAACTGTAGTTCAGAGGCTATGACTCCCTTAGAGAAAGAGGTGACTTCCACATTACAAGTCAGTGTACAGGCTTCAAATAAGACAGGCTTAGCATTAGCTTCCAACCTTCATCAAGGAGCCAAAGTGAATACCATTTATCTCCTCAGAGGGCTGCCATCTGCCTACTATCTACCCATCTCTCCTCCAACCCCTACAACCTACTTGATGCCTGGCCAGCCTTCCCACAGCCTCCTCCTCCCCGCTTTAGCTCCATGTCCCTGCCACCGGCAGATGCCTGGTTAGTTCCCAGCAGGCCTGAAGTGCCCACCTTATACAGGGCCGCAGCTTGGGCATTGGTCTGGTCAGCTGTGAGGTCTTCCTCAGGGTTGCCCTCCTTCAGAGCAGGCTTGGGGCCCAGAACCTACAGAGCCAGACAGGATTACTGGGGCTTCTGCACCCAAATTTCCCAAGTCACCACATCCAGGACCACCTGTGTCCTGTACTAAGATAGAGGGCAAAGTGATGGGTCCAGCCCACCCACCAGACAGCCTCCTGTCCCAAGGCTGTGCCCACGCAGGGCACCCCTTATCACCATCACACACAGGTACCCCATGAGCGACCACAGGACTGAGTAGGGCCCCAGATAAACCCCATGATCATCTACTAGCCACCTTCATAATCCCAGCTCATCACTGTCTCTCTTGGCTGCATCCGAACAGCAGCTCCCCACCTGAATCATCTCGGCTGGCTCCTCTCCATCACTAATAATTTCCACCTGGGCCTTGCCCTGCCGCTCGCTGTCCCTGATGGCCAGGGCCAGGTCCCTTGCCTTGTTACGTTCCAGGATGTTGGACTTTCCACCACACCAGGCGAAGATATTCTGCAGAGAAGCCAGACAGGCCCATCACAGCCTTTGTCCTGCCCCCACTGAACAACTGTACCCACAGGCTGGGCAAGCAAGAAGGCAGTACCAGTGCCAGAGTGGTTGCACACACCTCTAATCCTAGTACTGAAGAGGCAAAGACAGGCAGATATCTGTGAGTTCGAGGCCAGCCTGGTCTATAGAGTGAGTTCCAGGACAGCCAGGGCTACACTGAGACTCTATTTAAAAAAAAAAAAAAAAAAAAGATAAAACAAACAAACCCCAAGAAGTCAGGGCCACTCTCCAGAGGCTTCTGTGAAAGACAAGAACACCCCACAAGAGTAGTTCCTGGGACTGGAGAGATGGCTCAGGGGTTAAGAGCACTTACTACTCTTCTGAGAACCCAGTTTCACCTATAGGGGGGCTCACAACCATTCATAACTTCAGTTTCAGTGGATCCCATGACTTTCAAGGGCACTGGGAGAAGTGGTGTAAATACAAACATGCAGGCAAAACACTCATACAGATAAAATAAATCCAAAAGAAAAAAAAAATTGAGACAGGGCTTCTCTGTGTAGCCTTGGCTGTCCTGGAACTCACTTTATAGACCAGGCAGGCTTCTCACTTCCAGATCCCCCCACCTCTGCCTCTCAAGTGTTGGAATTAAAAAGGATGGGCCACCACCACCCAGTTTCAAAAGAAAAACATTTAAAGAGTACTTCTTGCCCATGAGCCATCATCATATATTTAAGCTTTTTAAAAATCTTGTGTATAAATTATCTCCTGGAGCTAGAGAGATGGCTCAGTGGTCAAGAGTATACACTGCTCTTGCAGGGGACCTGCGTTCTGAGAACCCACAATGGGCAGCTCACAACTGCCTGTCACTCCAAATCCAGCGCCCTCTCCTGGCATCTACTGGTATCTGCAATCACATGTACATGCCCCCCACACACAGACATTAATTTTTTAATGTAATCAAATTACAAAAATAATTCAAAATAACCTAAATTTGTTTTTAAGAAATTTTAAAGCAAGCTGAGTGGTGGTGGTGCACGCCTTTAATCCCAGCATTCAGGAGGCAGAGGCAGAGGCAGAGGCAGAGGCAGAGGCAGAGGCAGAGGCAGACAGATCTCTGAGTTTGAGGCCATCTTGGTCTACAAAGCTACACACACAAAAAAAAAGGAAGTTTAAAGCTTTCTGTTGAGCCCCATTTATATAGCCCCATGGGCTACATGCAGCCAACCAATGGCCACAGGGTGGACATACCTGGAACCATATGGGAGAAAGCACACAAGTTATGTACAGGTTTGAGACCACTGTATAAATGAGCCTGGAGCATCTGAGGATGGTGGTGGCTGTGTGTCACTGGGAAATAATCCCTATGGGTCCCTAAGGGCTGACTGGCTGGGGGTGTCTACTCACTGATGGAACAGTTCACCAGCCACCGGTTCTACCTTCTCACCCCTCCCTCCCCCAGCATCCCAGCCTGTCTTAAAGCATTGGCGCTGGCTCAGCGTCAGCCACCTACCCACCTGACCCAGGTCCAGGATGAAGCAGTCCCCGGTGTTGAAGCTGTCCCAGCTCAGTGCCCTCTCAGTGGCTCGGATGTTCTTCTTCCCCTTAACCTGGTAGAGCTTCTTGACGGCTGCTGGGGTGGCCCCCAAGGATGTCTTGTGAAATGCGGACTCCACACCACCTTCCTGAAGCCCAGAAAACTGGCCTGAGTGGCCTCACAGGCAACCCAGAACCTTCTATGTTCCATCGCACTAGGAGGCGAAGGAAGGTGGAAACCAATCCCCAAGTGTGCCCAGGCCTTCCGAAGGATAAGAACAGCTGGAAACAGGAGCTGACTCCGAGAAAAGCCATGGGAAGGAGGGCGTGGAAGTGGGTCTCACCTGGTACTTGAGGCCACGTGGGAAGTAGCTCATGAAAAGGTCGGACTCGTTCCCTTGAACCTCACGGTGCTGCACAGGCCGCTCCCCAAGGAGGGTGTTGAGGTGCACAGCCAGCACAGCACAGGCGCCCTGCTCATCCCGGGATGATTGCTGGCCTAGGGTGAATGTGAGATGACAGGCAAGGTCCCTGAGATCCACTGCAACCTCCATCCCCGGCTTGGCCAAACCCACACAGACATCATTCCAACCCCTTTACCTATCCACAGGTGTAAATGGGAGACCTCTTCTGGGCCATTGTGTAGCACTAGGTAGGAATCCCCAGAGAAGAAGATGCCATGGTTCTCTCGTGCTATTAACACCGGCTTCAGCTTCTCCACACGCCATATGTGTAGGCCTGGGTCTTGGACTGAGGCTGGGAATGAAGAGCCGCTGTAGGAAGAGACGGTTGGCAGTGGACTTGGTGAGGAGTGGACTCAAGCACAGAGACATGGGCAGGCCTGGAGACTGAGGTCTGGGTATAGTGAGAGAGTTGGAGGACAGAGCAGCCCTTGAGAGTGAAGATGGAAGAGAACAGAGACGATGGGGCACACTGCCTACCTCTGAGGAATGGGTGAGTACATGCTGTTTTCAGACCTGAAAAGAGAAGCCATGATTACCACGAGGGTCATAACAACCAGCTGTCTCGTCGGTCTGGGGGAGCCTTCCAGGAGGCCAAGTATCCTCCTTTTGCCTTTTGGAGGTAGAATCGTATGTAGCCGGGTTGTCCTCAAAGCCCATACATAAGTATCTGAGGACGACCTGGGGTTGAGGTGACACCTCATGGTTAAAGGGCTACCATGCAGGTAGGTGGCCATGCCACAGAGGCAGTGAGGGGCAATTCAAGTTCCAGCTGTCAGTCTACCAGAAGGAAATCTTCTGATGGGCCAATCTTGTTTAGGCAAGGCCACAGGACTGCAGACCCTGGAATGTCTTTTGCTTCTGGTGTGTCTTTTTTTTTTTTTTTTTAACATTTTATTTATTATGTATACAATGTTCTGCCTGCATTTATGCCAGCAGGCCAGAAGAGGGCACCAGATCTCATTATAGATGGTTGTGAGCCACCATGTGGTTGCTGGGAATTGAACTCAGGACCTCTGGAAGAGCAGTCAGTGCTTTTAATGGCTCTGAGCCATTTCTCCAGCCCCGTTCTGCTGTGTCTTTACATGTTTGCTGCACTTTCTTTCTCTGATATCTAGTATGGTGTGAGTGGACGTGGGGAGATCTCCACTGCCTGTGATACAGTGTGCTTATCTCTTGGAAACATCCCGTTCTACTGGGCATTTTTATGTGTGGATTGTCAAGATGACCCTTCACTAAACCGTACAGTCTAAATTGATAATAATAATGATAGCTTATACAAAGTTTGGTGAATAAAACTAAATACCAGGATATGTTTCACAGCCATGGTCTGTGAGTTTCATGTAAGGAGGTACATATGGATTAACAACTGAGTCCCAGTAACCCAGCTAGTTTAGATTCTTTTAACTTTAATGTCGGGAGATGTGTTCATAGGTCTTGGAGTGCATCACCGTTGAAACAAAGCTTTGAAAATAACAAAGTTAGACTAAGGTGTTTTTGTTAAATAACTTTAAGGTGAAAAACCTAAGAAGACAATCTAAAGTTTTAGAAAGACACATAGTTAAATTTGAAACTCTAAGATCAGGGAACAAGAAGAAAGCAGCCCAATTATTCCTGGTTGATGTACTCTCCTTGCTAGGTTTGGTTGATGAGCAAAGGTGATAATTAATTCCTTATACCCATTTCTGCCCTCAATCTCCTGACATAAAAACTATTAATGAATGGATATATACCCTAAAGATTTAAAGCTGACTGATTATTTTTCATATATAAAAGTTTAGGTTTGTGATTCCTTTAAGACTCCTTATAAGATTACCTTTCAAGATAAGTAATAAAGTAATTGGCCCTTTCTTTGTAACTGCAAAATGCAGCCTGCCAGTAAAAGACCTGACAAGAATAGCTTGCTTGCCCACATAGTTAATCTGTAACAAGTTGCTTAGGTATGAATGTATGTGGTTTCTTGGGATAATTTGGTTTTCACCTGTAATACATAAAATGTTTAATTGATGGGTGTTGGTGACGCACACCTTTAATCCCAGCACTTGGGAGGCAGAGGCAGCGGGTCTTTGTGAGTTCGAGGTCACCCTGGTCTACCTCCAAAGCCACAGAGAAACCCTGTCTCCAAAAAGAAAAAACAATGTTAAGTTAAAAAACACAAAACTTAGTGACCTCAGATCACTAAATTCAAAGTTCAGAGCACTAGTATTTTGTTTATGCTGGGGGTGTAAAGCTGTTCCCACATCTGAACTTAACCAATTTAATACATCACATTAACAAGTATATATCCTCAGCTGGGCGTTGGTGGCACATGCCTTTAATCCCAGCACTCGGGAGGCAGAGGCAGATGGATATCTGTGAGTTCGAGACCAGCCTGGTCTACAAGAGCTAGTTCTAGGATAGGCTCCAAAGCCACAGAGAAACCCTGTCTCAAAAAACAAAAAACAAAAAAAACAAAAAAATGAAACAAAACAAGTATATATCCTCTTGGATAACCATATCAGTATAATATACCATTAACAAGTATAACATTAATTATGCTCATAGATATCCATATCAATATAATACACCATTAACAAGTGTAACATTAATTATCCTAATAGATATCCATATCAATATAATATACCATATTAACAAATACATGTGATATTAATATATCCTCATGGATAACCATATCAATATAATACACCATTAACAAGTGTGACATTAATATATCCTCATGGATATCCATATCAATATAATACACCACATTAACAAGTTTATGTGACATTAATATATCCTCATGGATAACCATATCAATATAATACACCATATTAACAAGTACATGTGATATTAATATATCCTTATATAAAGAAAGTATTTAGCAGTTTACATCCATTCCTGATTTAGAATAAACAAACGAACAAAATAAGCCAGCTGGTACTGCAGAGGTGGCTCAACAGTTAAGACCACTTGTTACTCTCGCAGAGAATCTGAGTTCAGTTCCCAGCAGCCAACAGCCATCTATACTCCAGTTCTGGGAGCTAAACGACCCCTTCTGACCTCCAATGGTACTACATGCTCATAGTACACAGGCATACACTCAGGCAAAACTACCCATACACATTAAAATAAAAATAAGTAAATCTTTTAAAGAGTAAGCCAAATACGCTACTGCAAACTTGCAGTCCCAGCACTTGGGAGACCAGGGCAGGGGGGATCATGAGTTTTAGGCTAGCCTGGGTTGCACAAGGAGACCCTGCCTCATAAACTAAAAGAAAAAAAAAGAAGAAGAAAGAAAAGGAAAAGGCCAATTATGACAGCAATGGGAAGGGGGAGGCAGAAAGTCCAGATGCTCAGGGATGTTCAGGTTCTGGGCTAGCCTGTGTTATGTGAAATCCTGTCTTAAAACAAGAGAAAATGCCTGAACTAACAGTATACACCTGCCAAACTGACATTCCAGAAACAGAACCAGGAGAATCAGAAATCCAAGGTCATTCTTGGTTATCTAGTGAATTCAAAGCCAACCTGGGCTATAAGACACCCCATCGAAAAAGAAAAAGGAAGAAAGGAAGAAAAACGAGAGACCCGTGACACAGCTCGGTGAGTAAAATTGCCCAGGACACAGCTCAGTGGGTAAAGGGGCTTGCTGCACAAGTCTGAGGAAATGAGTTTAATCTCAGAACCCACGTAATGGTGGAGGGAAAAATCAGCTCCCTGAGTTTGCCCTCTGATCTCCACATTTACACCATATATGTGCATCCATGTACATCCACACCAACAAAAATTTTATTTAATCTAATATCTTAAAAAAATCTTAACAATCAAACACTAGAGAAAGGCAGAATGCTTGCCAAGCGTGCATGAAGTCCTGGCTCAATCTCTAGCCCTACATAAACTGGGCATGATGGCTCATGCCTGCACTTGGGGGGTGGAGGCAAGAGTTCAGGGTCATCATCAAAGGGTTTGAGGCCAGCTTGAGAGCCATGGACCCTGTGAGAAAAGAGAGAGAACTTGGCGAGAGAACTTGGGACACACCTTTAATCCCAGCACTCCAGAGCAGAGGCAGATGGATCTCTGTAAATTCAAGGCAAGCCTGGTCACATAGTGAGTTCTAGGCCAGCCAGGGAAAGGGAGAGAGAAGGGGGATGGTGTTTCCTTAAACAGAGTTTTTATTCTTTAAATCTACTAAAAACAAAATCTTCATGGGATTTTATCCCTCCTAGCCAATTCTCTCCCAAGGGAACTGCCCTCTTTCTGGGCATTAGCTATCATCCCTTCTATGTTCCCAGCGTCTTTCAGTTCCAGACTGATGAATGCCATCTTTGCTTTGTAAGTCAGTAGAGAAAATGTTTCTTGGGCAAAAATAAATGGTAGTATAGGGAGAATGCAAAAGGCAAGCTGTTGTTTTTAATATGCCACCTTTTTTAATATCCAAAAAATACAGTCATAATAACTTCACCCTCCCTATATTTGTTCCCGTCAGCAGCTGGTTTCTTTTTTGACCTCCACATATGTTCTATGGCACACGCACATGTGCGCTCGGGTGTACATGTACACACACTAAATAAGTAAGTAAACATAAAGAGTTGGCTTTCCCTTCCACCACGTGAGTTCCGGGAATCAAAGCCAGGCAGTTAGCCCTAGCAGCAAGTGCTCCCTTACCACTGAGCCATGTCTGGGCCTAAGGTTTTCCGTTTGTTTGCTTGCTTGTTTTAAGTCTTTTAAAGGAAGAGAGCATGTCACCAGCACTTAATTCAGTTCATGCCTCCACCCGGTGAGTTGCTGGAAGAGGTGCCCTGTGGGACGCGGAGGGCGGGTGAGAGTAGAAAGGTAAAACCTGCAGACTGGAGTTACAGGAGGGCAGAGAAGGGTGCGTGTTGAGTCTGTGCAGGAAACAGCAGGAGGCAGAGCTGTGGTGAAGGATGTGAAAGGCTGGCGGAATTACCACTTTCCCTTTCCTTACCAAGCTCCCAAACAGAGAAAGGCACCGTTTTCTTCCCAGCATGACATGTCCCCAACACAAACTCCATGGGGTGTGTGCACACCTCCAGCTATGGGCAGTGCAGCCTGTGAGTCAGGTAGGAACTAATGAGTCAGCTCCAAACCCAAGCTCGGGAATGAGATAGACTGAGCCCATAATGGCACTGTTTTTAGTTCTATGTTACCAAGATGAGAAATTGGACCATAACTCAGAAACAAGTGCCCTCCACTCCAGGCCACTGCAGGGTTCTGTGTGTGTGTGTATGTGTATGTGTGTGGGGGGTTCAGTTGTCTGCTCCTTCACGACCCTAGATGTTCATTGTCACTATCTCCTCAGGACTGAAAAGGCAGTCTAAAGTCTTGAGTTCCATCCCCAGGAACCACAGGATGGAGGAGAGAACCAACTCCCTAGAGCTGTCCTCTGAACTCTGCACCCATACCATGGCACATGCACATAAACACACACACACACAGCTCTATAATAATAAATGTAAAAAAGAAAAACTACCCAGGCCCTTACAGAAGTGCAAAGACTCTGGCAACCTTCTAGACCTTTCTACCTACTTCCTTGCAAAATCCAGTTTCTGTCAAAGATCTCTGAAACTTCAGTCAGGCTGCAAGTCCCCATAATCCATATCCCATCATCCTTTATCCAGATCTGGTTGCTGCACCATCCCCCACACGATGTCTGATCATCCTGGCTGTCTTCAGCAAGAATCCTGTTAGGTTAGTTTGACAGAACCTCCCTCCCGCCCCTGGCGCTTCCTTTTGGTAATTTTCCATGCACTGACCCTTACCTAGCAACTTGACTATCAAAGTCTTGTTTTTTCACACTGAGTTGGGTGTTGAGACTGAAGGAACCAGCTTCCTTTTGGCAGCCATAACAGCCGAACACGTGCTTGCCATAAACCTGCCTTGGTCACTAGGAGGTCAGATGACTGTCTCGTGACAAGGAACCCATCAGAAGTTAGCTGGTGGCGCTATGCTTTACGACCCTGGGTGTGCTTTACGGACAAGCGCACAGCAATGACGTAGAGAGCATAGCAACCACCCTGGGAGGGCCTATGGGCCATAACAACCAGTTGACCAATCAACACAGGGCAAGCCCTCCAAGCCTGGAGGCACACCAATCGTGAGCCTGTGAGTAAGCCTGGGCGTACCCCCTAGACACTCCCCTTCCGTTGCCTGATAGGATCTTTGGGGAGACCCAAGGAGCCGTCTTTTCTAGCCGTCCGCCATGGCGGGTGGGGGAAAGACCCGAGCTAACATGGGGCTAGCTCGGTAAATTACAATAAAGCCTCGTGCAGTTTGCAGCAAGCTCTCGAATCCGCCTGGTGATTGGGGTGACCTCGAACCTGGCCTGAGACCCCAGATACTTGAGTTTTCGGGGGTCTAACAAGACTAGTCTTTTTTCCCACACTGCAAGGCCCTGATGCTGTCTGTAGTCTCTATACTTACATTAAAGGTCCCGTTAAGCCTTCCTTATGGTATCAAGTAATAGTGAATAAGTTTTTTTCGGTTCTTTCTTTTGGGACAGGGTCTTTTGTAGCCTAAGTTGGCCTTGAACTTACTAGGTAGCTAAGGGTGACCTTGAACTTCTGCTCTTTTGCCTTCGCCTCCGCAGTGCTGGATCACCAGGCCGGTTTTATGAAGCGCTAGGGATGGAAGGAGGAAACCCAGGTCTGTGTGCACGCCCGACTCTATCAGCAGCTGCATCTGCAGCCCCTAGGTTTGTCTTTAACAGTATCAGTGCATGGGCCAGGAGACTGCTCCACAGGCTGGAAGTGTTTTAAACAGATGTTCAAAGTGTTCCTCATAGTGCGTGACATCTGCTGCACATGGGAACTTCAAAAGACAGGAAGGCTTTTAAAACTCTGGACAGCCATGTGTAATCCCAGCACAGAGAGGCAAATCTCTGTGAGTTCAAGGCCTGCCTGGTCTACAGAGCAAATTCCAGGACAGCCAACACTGTTACACAGAGAAACCCTGTCTTGAAAAAAACGAGAACAAAAAATGAAAACAAACAAACAAACAAAACCCAACAACCTCCTGACAAAGCTGGGCAGGCTATGACATGCCTAGAATCCCAACTAGTTGATAAACTGAGGCAGATGTATTATTAAACGTGTAAAATCAGCCAGGGCTGCAGAGCGTGTTCAAGGCCTGCCTGTGCAACATAATGAAGCCAATCTCAAGATAAAAAGTAAAAAGAGGGCTGGGGATATAGCTCAGTGGTACAGTGCCTGCCTAGCATGCATGAGGCTCTAAGTTCAATTCCCACTCCCAAGGGTAGGGAAGTGGGATGCATGAGGGACATGGGCTAGCTGAAACCACCTTCATGGGTGGAAGCTGGGTATGAGACAAGCCCCCCATCAGTTTCAACTGAGGAGGTTCCCGCTGCCTCCCATCAGCTCCTGGTCCTGCCTGTGCTCAGGCTTTCCTGGGGAAGCGACTTCCCTGGCAAAGAGCCTTCCATTCTTGCCTCCTGCTTTCAGCCCTTGGACTCGGTCCCATGGCTCCTCCAGCTTCCTTGGTACATGTATCAGGCCTCCACCCTTGCGGGCACACATCAACCCTAACTCTCTGAGGGATAATAAGCCAGTACTTTAGCTCCTGTGGGAGTTTTCCCAGCCCTCTCAGGCTTAGAGCACATCCCACCTTCTTCTCTGTCAACAACCCAGGAGCATACCCCATGCCTCAAGCAGCTATGACAATCTATTCATGTCCATTTATACAAGATCTGTGCTGGGGGCTCAGCCCTGGGCAGGCTGCAGGAGGAGAAGCAGAGCGATGAAGAACCGTCTGCCTGGTGGCCTCGCTAGAGGGCTCAGGGAAGTGGGGAGCCATCACATCCAATGAAACCACAGGCTGACTTCCTCCATGTAAGACTGTCACATAATCACAGACCAGCATTGGAAAGAGCCTTAGTGCTCAGATAGTCCTCAGAGCAGACACCTCTTCCAAAGCACCCTTCATTGTTCTCTTGAATGCTTCCGGTGGTGGGGAACTCACCTCTCCACAGGCAGCCTCTTTTTTAATCTTCCTTTGGGAGTGGCAGGAACCAAACCCAAGGCCATAGGCACAGCTAGAAAACACTCTACCACTGAGCTACACTATAGCTGGTCACCTCTGTTGAAGACACCTTTTCCCCACTGTGCCATAGTGTGATGAGTTTTAGGGACTGGCTCTCTCCCTGAGACAATAAATCACCTTTGGAGCAAGAAGTAGAGTTTGCTGTGGACCTTTGATAAACCTGATTGTGTCCAAAGAACTTGTTCGATTGCCTTGATTAGCTGAGCCTCAGTTATTGGACTAGATAAAATCAGAGGGATAGCCTCGGACCTCAATATCGGGGGCACTGCCTGGAGTAGCTGTAAGGCAAAACGCCAAGGGGCAAAGGGACCCATCAGACTGTCCTGAGTGGTGGGGGAGGATGTGTGCCCTGCTGGCTAATCCTGGCCCTTAGAATAAATATCTTTAAGGACACACTGGGGGCTTAGAGGTGTGGGGGGGTCGCTCCTACTTTCACCAACATGCTTGACGCTATCAATGACCTAATGGTGCACCAGTGACCCAGGACTGAGGAAAACCAGTCTTTTCCCTCCTCTGACTCTGTTTCTCAATAGATCACTTCCCTACATGGTTCCTATCTGTGCCGTTAACTGGGGAGGGAGTGGACTTTCCATACAAGAAAGCACAGGACTTCCTAGACTGTCTGTCACCCATGCTCCTTAGAAGTGGGGGCAGCAGTGGCTCTGGACACCCAGGCTCTTTCCCCACACACCAAAGCAGTTCCCACTCCCCACACCTCCAATTCTACCTCCATCTTTCTCCATATCCTTCCCCGGAGACCCTCTGCTGGGGGCTGGCTGAATGCCCCTCAAGCAGCTGGACCTACCTTGCTTCGCCCCAAGCCCCTCTAGTCCAGTGGTGTAGACCAAGGACAGTGCTATCTTGGGCACACGCACTGCCAAATCTGAATTCACCTCCTGACAGACTGACGGACGGCCTTTGTGGACCTCTCAGAAGGTCTGACACCGCCTCCTACAGACCAGGACGAACCCAGACCCCCTAGCTCCTCCCCTGCAGCTGGAACACAGCCCACTGGGCCCACCCAGCCTTTGCAGCTGCAAAACTGCAGTCTTGATAATAACCTCAGCCTGACTTATGCCTGGGGACATCATTCCTGAGTGTTCCTAGACCCTAGCAGCCAGCCCTCCTTACCCACCCAAGAGAGTCCAGCTAGCCCATCTCTAGGAGCCTCATCCCCCTTTTACCTCTCCACGGGGCCTTTTCTTCTCAAACTCTTCTCAGCTTGCCCCACCCTAGCTTCTCACTTCCCTCTTCTTCACTGGGTTGTTCCACCCACCTGCCCCACCCAAAGGGAGGCTCAGTGCTGTGAGCCCCAAGGGGGTAAAGGCAAGCTCCAAGATTCAGCAAGGCTGATAGAAAGCTGTTTCTCGGACGGACATGGCCACTGGTAGGCCCAGGCCCACCACGCTCTCATCATAGCGGCCTCAGGCAAGGCAGGTTCTGAAAGACTGATCAACAAGGAAAGCCCCATTCCAATAGCCAGCCCAGGCAAGCATGTCTGCACAGACCGGAGCTGCACACCACCAGCCTTAGTCACATTTCCTGGGTTGAGTCACTGGCTCTGCACTGCTTTTTCCTCCTCCCCTTGACTAGTTTGTTTCATTAAGCTAACTACATGTGATTTCTTTCTTTCTTTCTTTCTTTCTTTCTTTCTTTCTTTTTTTTTTTTTTTTTGAAATGAAGTTCCAAGAGAGTGTGTGGGGCCCTGACACATTCTGGTTGGTTTGAGGGTGTGTGTGTTTTCATTTTGCTGTTTTATTTTATTTTATTTTTTAAAGATTTTATTTATTTGTTTGTTTGTTTGTTTGTTTGTTTGTTTATTTATGTATACAGTCTTCTTTCTGAATGCCAGCAGAGGGCACCAGATCTCATTCAAGGTGGTTGTGAGCCACCATGTGCTTGCCGGAAATTGAACTCAGGACCTCTGGAAGAACAGTGCTCTTGACCGCTGAGCCATCTCTCCAGCCCTTATTTTATTTTGACAAGCTCTCATGTAGCTGAGGTTATCTAAATTATGATGCACCTCGAGCTAGCCTTGAACTCCTGATTCTCCTGCCTCCTGAGTGCTTGGGTTTGGGCTACAGGTGTGGGACACCATGTCCAACTCTTTGTTTTTTTTTTGTCTGTGTTTCTGTTTGTTTGTTACTGGGACAGTCTTACTTTGAAGCCCAGGATGCTATGAAACTCAATATGTAGCCCAGGTTGGCCTTGAATTTATGACAAACTTCCTGCCTCTGCTTCCTGAGCACCAAGGCATCATGCCAGGTGCTTTGACACATTTAATGCAGTCTCTCCATGCTCCAAACACTGCCCCTTCAGCTGGTTGTGGTGGTTCATGTCTTTAATGCCAGCGCTCAAGAGGCAAAGGAAGGGGATCTCTGAGTTTGAAGCCAGCCAAAACTACAAATCGAGTTCCAGGACAGCCAGGACTACACAGAAAAAACCCTGCCTGGAAAAACCAAAAATAAGTAAATAATGAAAACATACACCACACCCTCAGTCTGCTGCTTGTTTACCAGATGTCCCCTGTCACACAGTCTGGGGCCTGGAGATCTAGGAGACATCAATAGAAACTAGCATGGTCAGCCAGCAAGATGTGGTGGCACACACCTGTAAAACCGGCACTTGAGAATCAGAAGTTCAGAGCCACCTTCGGCTACATAGACTTCAAAGCCTGCCTGGGTACATAAGACCTTGGAACCCTCCTGATCTCCTGAAAACAGAAGCAAATAAGCAAGATCAAGCCAGTCAAAATTACAGAACAAAACCATATCTCCAAGAAAAAAGAAACAGAGACAGAGAGCATAGGCTGAACCCAAGACAACAGTCTTTCCTTTCACGTACTCGCAGGACCATAACACATAATCAATCTGGTCTAACTTGCTGGCCCCATGATGGACCCTGGGGCACAGCCTGAAGTCACACAGGAGGCAGGAGGCTGAGCCAAAGAGGCTACGATTCCCTTTTGAATTTCTAGAGCAGCGGTTCTCAATCGTCCTAACGTTTCAGCCCTTTAATACAGTCCCTCATGTTGTGGTGACCCTCAATCATAAAATTATTTAATCGATACATCATACCTGCAATTTTGCTATTGTTATGAACCATAATGTAACTATATATCTATGTGAGATAAGTTTGTTAAAGGGGTCATGACCCACAGGTTGAGAACTGCTTGCCCTAGAGGAAGCAAGAGCAGAGTCTGTGTGAAGCCCTTGGAAGTAAGTACCCAGTGGGCAGCCAGACTTGGGTGGCTCAGTGTCCAGGGACTCTGGCAGGCCTGTCCTGGAAGAGTGTTGGTCAACAGTCAGTTCCAGATAGAACTTAGTATTCAGAGTCAAAGCCCTAGCCTTGGTAATACAGCAGGACCAGAAGCAAGCCTTCCCGATTATCTGACCATCAAACCAGCTAAAATATCTGGCTGCTAGGGGAAAGCCTGGGGAAAAATACTGAGTGGATGGGGACAGTTGGTATTTGCTTGTTTGTTTGAGACAGAGCTGATGGGGAAGTACTTCTGTGTACGTTTATCTTATTGATTGTTAAATAAAATACTGTTTGGCCAATGAAATGGCAAGTTAGGCAGGACTAGGAGTCAAAGAGGATTCTGGGAAGTGTAGTAGAGAAGTGCTGATCCAGGCAGGAAGTGACATAGCAAGGAGACTCATATTTAAGCGAAGGAGAAACAGGAAGGCCCCTTTTTTCCCCTCTGCTCCTGGTCCAGTGGTACAATGTGATCCACCGGCAAGGAGGGATGCCAATAAGGCATCCGATAAGGTAAGTCTTATAAAATATATAGGTGTGTGGTAGTTAAGACTGAGCTAACAGATGAGAATCCTACTCATTGGCCAAGCAGCATTGTACCTAATACAAGTCTTTCTGTGTATTCATTTGGGCCTAACTCGGGCAGGTGGCTGGCATAAAGCTCACACATGGTGGTGGGGCTCAGGCGGAAAAATTTATCGTAACACAGAGCCTCAGAAAAGCCCACCCTAGCCTCAGACTTTCAATCCTCATGTCACCGTCTCTCCATCTCCTGAGTGCTGGGATTTCAGGTGTGCACCAATATGCCATCTAAATGGATGCATACTGTGTGCTAAATGCCACCAGAGCAAGAATTAAATGTTTTCTCAAGACATTAAATGGAGTCAGTAGGATGGCTCAGTGGGTAAAACCACTTGCTGACAACCAGAGTTCAGCAGAACCTACAGTAAAAGGACAGATTGGGGGCTGGAGAGATGGCTCAGAGGTTAAGAGCAGTGACTGGGCCAGATGGTGGTGGCGCACACCTTTCATCTCAGCACTTGGGAGCAGAGGCTGGTGGATCTCTGTGAGTTTGAGACCAGCATGGTATCAAGAGCTAGTTCCAGCAGAGCCTCCAAAGCCACAAAGAAACCCTATTTCAACCCACCCCCCAAAAAAAGAGCATTGCATTGACTGTTCTTCCAGAGGTTCTGAGTTCAATGCCCAACAACCACATGGTGGCTCACAACCATCTAGAATGGGATCTGATGCCTTCTTCTGGCATGTAGGTAAACATGCAGACAGAACATTATATATATAATAAATGAATCTTAAAAAAAAAAAAAATGACAGAATGGATTCCCGAAAGATGCCCTCTGGGGCTGGAGAGATGGCTCAAAGGTCAAGAACACTAGCTGCTCTTTCAGAAGACTGGTGTTTGGTTCCCAGAAGCCATGCCTTGCGTCTCACAAACTGCCTGCAACTCCAGCTCTAGGGGATCTGACTCCCCCTTCTGGCCTCAGAGAGCACTGCACTCACATTTGTATATACAGTGTCAACTTGACAGAAATGTAGACATATCTGGGCAGAGGGATTCCTAATTGAGAAAAGGCCTCCATAAGATTGGCCTGTGGGCAATTCCGTGGCATGTAATACCCTGATTAATGCTATAGGAGAGTCTAGCTCACTATGGGCAGTGCTACCCTGGAGCAAGGTGGTCTTGGATGATATAAGAAAGCAGGACAAGCACGTTATGAGGAGAAAATCAGTAAGCAGCATTCCTCCATGGCCTCTGCATTAGCTCCTGCCTCCAGATTCCTGCCCTGACTTTCCTCAGTGAGGGACTGTTTGTTACCTGGAAGTGTAAAATGAAATAAACCCTTTCCACTCCAAGTTGCTTTTGGTCATGGTGTTTTATTACACAATAGAAACCCTGACTAAAACATACACATAAAAAAAAATAGAAAAATAAATCTAAAGAGGTTTAGAAAGAAAGTTGTCCTCTGGCCTTCATGTGTGCTGTGACATGCACCCCCATGCATATATGCATGTGTATACACAATAATAATGAATAAAAATTTACAAGCATTGAATGTTCTCTTTAAAGAATACGGTTTTATGGGGCTGGAGTGGTAGCTCAGTGGTTAACAGCATTGGCTGTTCTTCCAGAGGACTCAGGTTCCATTCCCAGCATCCACATGGAGGCCACAACTATCTACAACTCCAGTCCCAGGGGATCTAATGTACTCTTCTGGTCACCTCAAGCACCAGGCACCCACAGTGTATACAGACATGCAGACAAAATACCCATACACATAAAAATAAATAATAGTTCAAAAAGCCAAATGACAGGTTGGTCTGAGCTGAGATCCTGAAGGGACCATCCCCCCATTTAGGCAGCCATGACAGTAACACGTGCTCACTATGACCTTGTCTTAGTAACTAGAGGTTAGGTGTCTGCCTCGTGACAAGGAACCAATCAGAAGTTAGCTGGTGGCGCTATGCTTTATGACTCTGGGTGTGCTTTACAGACAAGTGCACAGCAATCACCCTGGGAGGGCCTATGGGCCATAACAACCAGTTGGCCAATCAACACAGGGCAAGCACACCAATCCTGAGCCTGTGCGTACCCCTAGACACTCCCCTTACGCTGCCCTACAAGATCTATCTCTGCAGCCGGTTCCAGCTATCTTTTGCGAGCCATCCGCCATGGCGGGGGGGTGAAAGACCCAAGCTAACATGGGGTTAGCTCGTTAAAAAAAAAAAGCCACAATAAAGCCTCATGCAATCTGCAGCAAGCTCTCGAATATGCCTGGTGATTGGGGTGACTGCGGTCGTGGCCTGGGACCCCGGATACCTGAGTTTTTCCGGGGGTCTAACAATCCCAGCAAGACCTTGTCCATGACAGAACCACAGGCAAGCCAGAGAGCTTGGCACAAGGTTAAGAGCTGGTCTTCAGGACTGAAGATGTAGCTCAGTTAGTAGAGTGTTCACACAGCAGGCATGGAGCCCTGAGATGATCATTGCATAGCATAAAGACCAGTGGAGTGGCTCAGCTGGTAAAGACACTTGCCACTAAGCCTGAAGACCTGAGTCCAAGTCCCAGGATCCACATGGTGCTGAAGGGACTAGCTCCTCATTTCGGCAGCCATAACAGCCGAACACGTGCTTGTCTGACCTTGCCTTAGTCACTAAGAGGTCAGAAGC